TGCTGCGGTTGCTGCTAGTGCTAGTGTTGCTGCTGGTGCTGCTGCTATTTTATTTATTTATTTATTTATTTTATGCATATGTTTATTTGTTTTTCTTCTCTTTTTATCTGTTTTTATTTTTTTGTTTTATTATTTATATTTATCTATGTCTATCTATTTTTATTTATTTGTATTGATTTATATTTATATTTTATAATTATATTTATATTAATTTATATTTATTTATTTATTTATATATATTTAATTTGCAGGCGGTTTCTTCATCGCTGTTCTTCGCAAAGTAGCGGAGGTCCCCCTAAGGGCTGCTAAATATGAAGACCAAACAAATCAAACTCAACCTGCCGCTGCTGCTGCTGTTGCTGCTGATGCTGATGCTCCTGATGATGCTGCTGATGATGCTGCTGATGCTGCTGATGATGCTGATGATGCTGCTGATGTAGAGGCAGAGGCAGAGGCTGAGGCCAACATAGGTGAGCTGCTGCTGCTGCTGCTGCTGCTGTTGCTTCTGCTGCTGCTGCTGCTGTTGCTGCTGCTGCTGTTGCTGCTGCTGCTTCCACTGCTTCTGCTGCTACTGCTATTGCTGCTTCTACTGCTTCTGGTACTACTACTGCTGCTGCTACTTATTTTGCTTCTTCGGCTGCTTCTGCTGCTACTGCTGCTACTGCTACTGCTACTGCTTCTGCTTCATCTTCGTCTTCATCTGCTGCTGCTGCTGCTGCTGCTGCTGCAGAGAACGGGGAGACGAATTGCTGTCGCCGGAGTTTCTCTCAAGTGCAAACAGATATGGTGGGTTTGGCGTGGAGTAGCGAGCAGCTAAACAAGCAGCAGCAGCAAATACAGCAGCAGCAAATACAGCAGCAGCAAATACAGCAGCAGCAAATGCAGCAGCAGCAAATGCAGCAGCAGGAGCAGGATCAGCAACAGCAGCAGAAGCAGCAAAAACAGGTTTTGATGGCTACGTTGAGCGACTCCAACTCTTCAACAGCAGCAGCAACAACAGCAGAAGCAGCACCAGCTGCAGCAGCAGAAGCAGCAGAAGCAGCAGAAGCAGCAGAAGCAGCAGCAGCGGTATCTGCTGAGGTGCTGCAGGAAACACGCAAATTGGCGCTGGAGGCATTTGGGTGTCCCTGGGCCTTCTCCTATTCACTACCAAACAGCAGCAGCAGCAGCAGCAGCAGCAGCAGCAGCAAGATGGAGGAGCATTGCATGCGTTTTTTGAGTAATCTCTATTACCGAAGAAAGACAGAAAAAGGAGCAGCAGAAAATACACCGGAAGATAAACAGCAAATAGAGAGAGCAGCAGGCTGCAATAACAATCAACCAACAGCAGCAGCAGCAGCAGAAGCAGCAGCAGAAGCAGCAGCAGCAGCAGCAGCAAAAACAACACCACAACCGCCAGCAACAGATGCATCAGAGGCAGCAGCAAAAGAACTACCAACCGCAGCAGCTCCAACAGCACCAACAGCAGCAGCAGCAGAAGCAGCACCAACAGCAGCAGCAGCAGCAGAAGCAGCAGCAGCAGTAGCAACAGCAGGCTGTCCTCGTCGTTTGTTTTTTGTTTCTGAAGGCGTTCAGCGATTAGTTGAAGGTGTAGGCGCAGCAAAATATAAAATAATTAATGCTGGTTGTGCAGCAATGCAAGCGAGAGAAAAAGAAAAGTTTAGGCTGGTGTACGGAGGGACACAGTGGGTTATACCCTTATATCAACAACTTGCTGCTGATGCTGCTGATGCTGCTGCTGCTGCTGCTGATGCAACAACAGCAGCACAACAAGCCGTATCGGCAACACCACCAGCACCACCAACAGCAGCAGAAGCAGCAGCAGCAACAACAACAACAACCGGAGCAGCAGCAGAAGCAGCAGCAACAGCAACAACAACCGGAGCAGCAGCAGAAACAGCAGCAGCAGCAGCAGCAGCAGCAGCAGCAGCAGGAGGCGATCGCCGGCAGCGTTTGCTGGAGGTGCCTTTGAGTTTAATGCATGCGTTAGTAGACAGACAACAAAGCGAAAGAAGAATTCGATTTGAAGATATTAAAAAATTATATAAAGGCGAAGAACTCCTCAAAAATGCTGCTGATGGTTCTCTTGTCCTTATCACTCAAATCAACAGCAGCAGCAGCAGCAGCAGCAGCAGCAACAGCAGCAGCAACAGCAGCAACAGCTGCAGCAGCAGTGTTAAGAATATAGCGGTAGGCATGCTGTCTTGTCTCTCCTTTGTCTTTTTTAATTTTGTTATTTCTTCTTCACTCTTATTTTTTTATCTTTTTATTTTTTATCTTTTTATCTTTTAATCTTTTTATCTTTTAATCTTCTTTTCTTTATTTCTTCTTCTTTCTTTAATATTTTAAAATTTTGATGTTTTCTCTTTTTTCTTCTTTCTCTTATTTGTTTATTTATTTCTAGCTCTTTATCTGTTTATTTCTTCTTTTTTATCTGTTTGTTTTTTATTTGTTTTTGTTTATCTTTTTATTTTTTACTTTCTCTTTATGTCTCTCCTCGTTTTTGTTTCGTCTCTCTTTCGCTCTTTGTTTGTTTTTCTCTTTTGTTTTCTTTATACTCAATTAACGCACTGTCAGTTTGTTTATTATATTGTGTATTTATTTGTCTGTTTGTTGTCTATTCATTTACATATATTTATTTATTTACTTGTCTTTCTTGTGCGTCATATTTTGTTTTAGTATTTGTTTATTCGTTTTGTTTGTTTTTTGTTTGTTTGCGTTTTCCTGTACTGTATTCCTTTTGAGAATCCTGTTGCATTTATATTTATATTTATATTTATATTTATATTTATATTTATATTTATATTTATATTTAT